GTACGGACTAATGGGGATGTCATCACATGACCCCTCTATTATCTTGTACTAATACGACATCTGATTACTCATGCTTAGTATACATGCTTACGCTCACAGTACCATAGGTCTTATAGCGGTATCAGAGATCCTGACTCACATGTATATATACTGGCCCTGTAGCACAGAATAAAGCAAGAGTTCAGTCGCACTTTAACAGGTTATGAGCCCCGGCCTCACGGCCACTCTACCTCCACTCTACTAGTCTCATTGCTGAAGAAGACCCCTCGGGAAACCTCGGTCCCCTTCACCCAGTTTAAACCAAGTTTATCCACACAGTTTACGAGTAAGTCTCGTTGCGTGCTAGTGGCAGACGGAGCGCTTACGCGTTCATTCCTGCGTAATTTCTAGTGCCAAAGGATTTGCCCGCTTGTCCCCCTCACTCCGTTTTCCAGCGGTACAAGCACTCTGCCAGCTATGCGCCCGCCTCCGGCAACACCAACGACCCCGTCGAGACCGTCCCGTACGGTAAACGCCGCGGCAAAGAACTACGCCCGCCGACTCCAGCGCTCACTCTCCCGTTCCCTCCGAACTCACACGAGGGTATGCGCCTACGTCGCGAACAGTTCCGCGAGCGCTACGCGACCGACAAAGCCGACTTCGAGCAGCGTCTAGCTGCACGCGAAATCCAACAGGCGCGCGAACGGATCCTCGCCGGTCTGTCAAAGCCGACACTCGAGCAGCGTCTCGCTGCCATCCCACCGGCGACACATACGCTGATCGCCCCGAAGCCGATACTCATCGACTTCGACAAGCACACTCCCGCCGACCTCGTCCGCATCTTCACACCAAAGTTCGACGGCACGCTCAAACGCCTCGACGTCTTCGAGACTCTCGAGCTCGATGACCTCAACTCCGACCGAGTCCGCAATCTCCGCCGACTCATTGAGCAGCTCACGTGCATCAAGCGCTGCTTAGCGGACGTCTGCAACGTCGTCAAATACGAGGAGTGGTGCAAGTGGAAATTAGGGTGCAGAGAAATAGGGGATATCTCGTTCAAAGGGCTACGCAAGAACAAAGCCCGGATTGTACAAGCGCTCAGCGCAGTTTACGTGAACGGATATTTTGACGTGGTTAGGTTTTACGAGAACAAATAGATACTTTGTATACAACGCTATTGTAACAATCAGAACAAGTTCTACTCGAAAACCTGACTACTGTGTGTTTATCCTAAGCGACAACAAGTGTCGTAGTTTAACTGGTCTCTTCGTCCAATCCCAACTCTATCCACCTCTCGGCTAAATCGGCTTAGCTGGGATAAGTGGTTCGCTTAACAGCGTTCACAATCACTACCTCTCAAGAGACAAATACGGTACCTGAAACCGTAGAGACAAAACAGGAAACCGTCGCAGAATTCAGACAGCGACTGAATATATTAGACGACATAGAAACAGACTGGGAAGCATTAACAGCACACGAACAATACGTCGAAGTGTTGCTAACTCCGTTCTATTTCTTCAAACACGTCCAAAAACCGCCGAGCTATAACGCTACAGCAGAGTTAACAAACCACGACGAAGATATAATCCATATCTTCTTTCCAACAAGCTCTGACACATATTCAGAACCATACGCTTGTTACCTCGACCAGGAAGATATTGCGGAAGATCTATATTATAGACCGATCAATCAGACATACGATCTCGCATT